TTCCTTCTGATTCTTCATTACAAGTATATTATATTGGAACGAGCTTTTAAAGATATCTTAAATATCAGCTTAGACTGATTCCTGTGTCTACAGAGGTAGAAGATTGTGCTAAAAATTGTTCATAAAACCAGACTTTCTGTCTGGTTTTTACAGTTCAACCTTGGACAAGTGACTTAACCTCTCTATGCCTCAGATTTGTCATCTATAAAATTGAGATGATACCACTTATGTCATTGGCTTATTGTGAGAAATAAATTAATTAATGTATATAAGGGACTTGAAACAGTGCTTGACATACAGTAAGTGCTCAGTAAATATGAACTTGTAGTGTAATCATCATTGATATATGCTTTCAAATGTTGGGGAGGAGAATGGTGCTTTTTCTCTCAGATACTTTGACTAATAATATAAAATTGAGTGAATTGCACTTCTTTTGATCCTACCCTTGAAGACCTTGGGACCTCTCCACCTATGATTCTCCAGGTGTTCTCTGGGCACATGGGCATCTGGTGTGTATCAAAAAGTGGGTGAGCCATCAGATGATATGGGGGAAGCACATAATTGGGCTTAAGGACATGTAGGGAATGTCCAATGACATTGATTAGCTCATCTTTCATTCAGCAACTAGACAGTTATGTCTTGCAGTACTAGACATTGTGAGCAACACAGAGATGAGCCAAGCACAGGTATCTGTCTTTATTCACTGGGTTCATAATAGAGTAAAATCTTTGCATCTGTATCCCCATCTTCCTAATTAGACTGGGATAGAGCATGGGAAGGGAGAATAGGATTACTATGGTATTTACTCATCCATGGGAGAGAAAGAATTACTGCTACATATTGTAGGCTAGGATTATGCAAGACACAATTTTCATAAAGAAAAAAAAATACTCTGAAAAGAAAGTTTCTTCTTTGTTGTTATCTTAAAATACTTTGTATTTCTTACTTTGTAAGAAGAATATAATGTCTATACAGCATCACCTAAATGAATCAATTATTAACATTGTCATAGTTATTTTTATCATTCTCTATAGAATATAGTATCTCTTCCAATTACATGACAGTCCCACACATTGTGCCCCTCTGAATACTTTGACATGTTGACAGGAGTCTTTCAGAATGCTCAACGTCTTGAGATGTTTAAGGGTGGAAACAAGTTTATGATACAGAGGAGAAAAGAAAATAAAAAATTGCTCTCAAGTATAATAAGCAAAATGGAAAAGGATGGTTTAGATAAAGACGTACTCGTTGTCATGTATAGGTATGTTTGAAAAACCCTGTGAATTGGGAGAGAGGGATGCACACTGGCAGATTTCAGAAGAACTGAGGAACATCAAAGTCCTGGACTGTGGATATCATTCCTGCCACAAGCAGGATGAACTCCCAGATTTACACTTGTCCTTACCATGCAGTCCCAGGAGTATGTCCATTTAAATGCCACAAAATAAGAATTCAAGAGAACTTACCAGCCAAAATGGTGAAGTCGACCTTTAAACTATCAGGTAAAACAAAGAGCTCCCGAAGTGAATTAAGATGGAATCACTTCCCAGGACTGCTTCCACCCAATTTCCAACTTCATTTACTTACTACAAATGTGCTAAATGAAAGCATGTCATAGTACCCATTAAAGAGCGTACCAAAGTAATTCTTTTAAACTGGTTCTCATGGCCCTTTAATTTTTATTTGTAAAAAGGCCTTGGATTTTAGAAGAGTAGAGTTGGAAAAAGGGGTTTTAGTGACAGACCAGGCTTTCAAACCTGCTTTCAGTCTTTGTGAACTATTTCCCCTCAGAAATGGAGGGAGGCAGGTTGACTTGGGTCCCATCATCACATTATGCAGAGCTCCTAGTGGGTTTTGTTTTGTTTGTTTGTTTGTTTTTCTTTTCTTTTCTTTTTAGGATTGAAGGCGATCTTGCATCTAAAGCAGCTAGCACAGGAATTGGAGCATAGAAAGGAACAACGAATGACATCTTCTTTTTGCCTATGCAAAATGTAAAACAAAATAAATTAATAAAACAATATACTTTATACAGATCCTAGTGATGTAAAAGAACCCCAGGACAGAGAGAGAGTTTGACTTTAAGAAAGTCTTGCAAATGGTAGGAGAGACCGCCCCCCAAAAAAGTTGCTTGTTCTTATTGAGAGAAAAATATTGTGGGAGTTAATGGTAGCATTTGGAATAAAGTTTAAGGGAGGACAGAATATTCCAAAAATTACAGAATAAAATGGGACTTTTATAGATGAAATGAATTTTTCTCCTTCCCTCCCTCCCTCCCTCCCTCCTTCCTTCCTTCCTTCCTTCCTTCCTTCCTTCCTTCCTTCCTTCCTTCCTTCCTTCCTTCCTTCGCTGTAGATTGATGCCAGGGCAAGCCTGAGGCATGCTAGATAAATGCTCTACCACTGACCTATATCCCCAGTCCCCATTTTTTTCTTTGAAGCTT